ATACAAAACTTAAATTCATTAAAAGCCAAACCCGTAAAGTACCATGAATAATTACTAGATGCTAGCTGATACATATGCATGTGATTATATATAAATATTTATATATATGTACACACTAATGTTCGGTTAACAAAAAGTCCTACATGTGTGTTTATGTTAATAGGAGGACACACTATTGGAACTTCAGCTTGCCAGTTCTTCAGGTACAGACTATATAACTTCACAACCACAGGTGGTGCTGACCCTTCCATTGCCCCGGCATTCCTCCCCACTCTCCGATCACTCTGTCCAGAAAACGGTGATGGCACGAAGCGCGTGGGACTAGACAACGGTAGTGATAAGAAGTTTGACTCGTCATTCTTTACCAATTTGAGAAATGGAAAGGGAATACTAGAGTCTGATCAGAAATTGTGGACTGATGCTTCTACAAAGACTTTTGTCCAGCGATTCTCTGGTTTGAGCTTCAATGTGGAGTTTGGTAAGTCCATGGTGAAGATGAGTAACGTCGGTGTGAAGACTGGCACTGCTGGTGAGATTCGCAAAGTGTGCAGTGCTATTAATTAACTGATCGATCATCACAATTTCATTCCCTAGTGGAGTTGCAAAAGTGACTTGCAAGTTGTATTAATTATTCATCAACCAGCATAATTAAGCTGATGATTTTGCTTTTTGTTAATGACTGGAAGCTAATAATGTATCAATTCTTTCAAAGAAGGAAATAAGATTAATCTAATTTACTAGCATATTTTGTTGATTAATGGGATACATTTTGGATGATTATTTAACATTTGTATTCAACTTAAAGGGAACAAAATGAAGAAAAAGTGATCTGGATGCAGGGGTGGAGTTGAGATTTCATTTCATGGGGAGTGTACTTCAAATAAAATAATAAAAAAAAACAGTTGTCGTAGGTTTTTCATTGATTTAATTAGTTTTAGTCAATTTAATGATGCATGATATCTCAATAAAAACGGATGCCTCGATAACTCAATAGGTTAACGTCTTCGATAGATTTTGGAGTGCTCTCTATACCTACTAATCTAACTTCTAACCCTTCTTACCTTGTAATATATATATATATATATATATATATATATATATATATATTGAAACTAAGCCAGGAATCAATTTTAATGGAAATATATTGAAACTAACAATGCGGCAAGATAGTAATCCAGAAAATAAAAGTGCATAACGATGCATTAATTTAATTCAAATAGTATGTCATTAATATTTACAAAAAATTACATTAAAGAAAAATTAAAAAATATAAAATACACATATTGAGTTCATTATAGTAATAAAATTAAATAAAAAAAGAGAATAATAAGAGAAAAAAAATGTTACAGTACATAGTACATACTTCATGCATGAGTGCAAAAATAAAATTTTTAAGAAGAAGAAAGAAAGAATAAACAAACAAGAAAAATGAAAGAACTAGAGAAGTAGAATAATGTAACCTTTTTATAAAGGAATTAAAGAATTTGAAGAGTGAAAAATATGGCGGGGCTGGCCAGCCCGGGCCTTAATGGCTCCGGCTGTTTGGATGTGATATCAACCAACTTCTTACATTTTTCTTTGAGTTTGAATTTAAGAGTACTTCCATCAATTGGATTTGGATGTGATGGGATCAACTTCTTACCTGCAATTTGAATTAAGACTAGACTGGTGTTACAAAGGGTAGTTGTCCCACATTGAATCTGAATGAAAAAATAATTGAATATAAATGGGTGGGTATATAGCACTATCCAAAAGTTTTGAGTAAATTGATAAGTGTTCACCCGTTAAAGTTGGTATCAGAGTCGGATCTAATCCTTGATTCGGTGTCACGCCAAGCTTCCGGCACGGAGGGCGTCCAGGTCTGAACTTCGTATAAGCAGGGTGACCCAACCACAACGAGGACGTTGCGCAGGCTCGGGTGGGGGAGAATGTACCTTAGAAAGGGGAGCTTGTCTCACATTAGATCCGGATGAAAAAATGATTAGATCACTACAAGAAAAGATGGGTCTAGCAGCAAAAAAATTAGCATTTTTAAAAGCACTTTATAAAAAATGATGCCGGAAGTAAAAAAAAAATGCTTCATTTTTATTATTCATTTTTTATTTTTCTTTTTTCATTTTTCATTTTCCAATTTCCAATCACTCCTCACTTTCTCTCTTTACTCCCAATCCTCTCTCTCTAATTCGACTCAGACTCTCTCTTTACCCCCAATCCTCTCTCGTCGCTCCTCACTTTCTCTCTTGTCTTTCCTCGCTTTCTCTCTCTAGCTCGACTCAGACTGGTCTCTCCTCGCTCCTCGCTCTTCAATGGAGAGCTTGATCTACCAAAATTATACTGCGAATACAGTCCCGGTTAGAGTTTGATTTGGGAGCCAAATCCACATCTGATTCGCAAAACAGGCCAACAATCATCGACGTTATCTCCATTTTTGTCCACTGCAGGTAAATTTCACAGCTCCTTTTTTGTTTGAATTCATTATTTCACTATTTACAAATATAGGATTATCAACTTTTGATCAATGTGATTTATACATGCCTTTCTAACATTAAGTCAGATTTGCTTTAACTTTACTTTATAATTATTATATTTTATTTTATTACATTCTTCGCATGCAATAACTTATATTACACGGGTGTTTATATATTTGCAAAGCTTACTTTTCCTATTAATTATATTTTTATTAAGTTAGTGTATTAGTTCATAAAATAATAATTTCCATAACATAATTGACAGCTTAGAAGGGAACCAAATCATAGTGCTACAACATAATTTAGTCTTTGTGAACAGAACAACATGGTAGTCTAAAATGGGAGGCTCACCTTATACATTGTACAATATGCAGAGTCCACAAGGTGACATGTCAGACTGAATTTCCAAGTACCAAGCCTAGTGCTCAAGGCACTACTGCTAGAGCAATTTTGTGGATTGAAGCGACAAATATCAAAAGTGGGGATGTGGTCAATGTCAACGGTGGGCCCACGCGCATGTATATATGTCTGTAATTAAGCTGCGAGATATATATATATACACACTCGTACATATGGTGGACAATGTCAATGATTTTAATATTATTGTTTGACCAACCCACAGAAATCTAACATATTTTGAAACATCATCCCAAGTTTTTTCTTCTAGGTCAAGTACTTGAGAATCACAAGAGGGGTGCAATAATTTCCGGGATATTGATATGGTAAAAGATTGATCTTAATTTGTTTTTTCTATCATTTCATTTTCAATATGTGGTTTCAATATGTGGTGGAATAAATGAAAATTTAAAAGCTATGTACAAGTCTTAATTTATGGTCATAGGATAAAATATTAATCAAATATGTCATCATCTATATTTATATTATATATTGATATTACTCAACTAGACTTTTTTTATTTTATTTTCTTTTATATATTCCTTTTCAATTTGAAAGAGAAATTTTACAGTCCTTAATAGTATTTTGACATATGGTATATTTCTCAATCAAATCTCTCTGTTTTCTTTAATATGTAAATAAAAAATTATTAAATAATTCTGGTCCATTTAACATGTGAAAATAAAAGCTCGTTTAATAATACTAGAACTCTTATAAGAGCAAGCAAAAAAAAATTAACAAACGGAGGTAATTCAAGAGTAGGGACAGGAATCAGATTACCTCAAACATGAGCAGCTTCACTTACCAGTTTATCATTCCTAAAGATATCGGTGATTTTAAGAACATTTATCTTAATTTAATTTAATTTTTAAAAGGTGATTTTTCTCTATACATATGAATAATGAAAAAAGTGTTACATAGATTAAAACTGATGATGGAGGTTTGGTTGAAAAAAAAAAAAAAAAAAATGAAGAAAAGATAACTGGGTTGAGCTTGGTGGTGGTGGGTAGTGGATGGAGATGATGGTGGTGGATGGTTATAGAGAACTTCATTTTTTCCCGGCGTACTCCATGCTTGACGTTGTTTGCATGGAGCAGATAGATGTTAGGGAGAGAGTAAAAGAGACTTGAAATAAATAAATAAATAAAATAGCTGCTGAGACGTGGGCAAATGGTGAAAACATGTGAAGGGTATAAAGTCTAACAAATTAAGGGTAAAAATGTACTTGCAACAATGAGGGTAATTTAGGTATTTTATTTTATCAATTTTTAGAAGAGGAGTGTCAAGCAAATTATACCAAACCTGAAAGGGATGTGATAGCAATTTTAACTGAGGTTTAGTACAAGAACAATAAATTTAAACCTTAGGGTCTCTGAGCATTTAGCCCAAACCGCAGCCAATTAAGCCCCGGCTGGCCTGGCCCCCATTATACATAGTATGTTTGTGTCTATATATAAAAGAAGTTTTATTTGAAATATTAGATAATGAATCCATAAAATTTTAATTTTTAAAAATAAATATTATATATATATATATTACTCTTCAAAATTCTTTGATTCCTTAAAAAGAAAGTTACATTATTCTCCTTCTTTAGTGCTTTCCTTTTCCTTGTTTGTTTATTCTTTCTTTCTTCTTCTTAAAATTTTTATTTTTGGACTCATGTATAAGGTATGTACTGGAACATTTTTTTCTCTTATTATTCTCTTTTATTTTTTTTTTCTTTTTATTTAATTTTATTACTATAATGTTATGAACTCAATTCGTGTATTTTATATTTTTGAATTTTTCTTTAATGAAATTTTTTGTAAATATTAATGACATACCATTTCAATATTAATTAATACATTTTTTTTTTGGATTAATATCTTGCTGCATTGTTAGTTTCATTATATTTCTTAGTCACTCTTTTTATTGAGATTTCGTGCATTATTAAATCGACTAAGACTAACAAAATCAATGAAAAACATAAGACATCTACTTTTTCTTTTTTTTTCTTTTTTTTAATAATGAAGTACACCGCGTTTCCTGAAATAAAATCTTGACTCCCCTCTCGATTTTATAATTTGTTCATTTCATGTTTTAATATAAATGTTAAATCATCATCCAAAATACATTCATCAACAAAAAGAATTACTAGTAAACTAGAATATCTTATTCCTTCTTTGAAAGAATTGATACATTATTAATTTCCAATCATTAACAAAAATTAAAACCATCAGCTAAATTATGCTGGTTAATGAAAAATTAATACAACTTGCAAGTCACTTTTGCAACTCCGCAAACTAGGGAGTAAAATTGTGATGTTCGATCAGTTAATTAACAGCACTGCACACTTTGCGAATCTCACCAGCAGTGCCAGTCTTCACACCGACGTTACTCATCTTCACCATGGACTTACCAAACTCCACATTGAAGCTCAAACCAGAGAATCGCTGGACAAAAGTCTTTGTAGAAGCATCAGTCCACAATTTCTGATCAGACTCCAGTATTCCCTTGCCATTTCTCAAATTGGTAAAGAATGACGAGTCAAAGTTCTTATCACTACCGTTGTCTAGTCCCACGCGCTTCGTGCCATCACCGTTTTCTGGACAGAGTGATCGGAGAGTGGGGAGGAATGCCGGGGCGATGGAAGGGTCAGCACCACCGGTGGTTGTGAAGTTATATAGTCTGTACCTGAAGAACTGGCAAGCTGAAGTTCCAATAGTGTGTCCTCCTATTAAACACACATGTTGGACTTTTTGTTAACCGAACATTAGTGTGTACATATACATAAATATTTAACCATTCAAAAAATATATATATAAATATTTATATATAATCACATGCATATTTTCAGCTAGCATCTAGTAATCATTCATGGTACTATACGGGTTTGGCTTTTAATGAATTTAAGTTTTGTATCCTAATTAAATTAATATTCCAAGTGACAATGAGTTCAATCTAACTTTTGTTCAATTAAAAAAATATGAAGGAGAATAATTATGTATAAAAACATTCTATAATGTCCTGAAAGTGTTTCAAAGAAAGATACACGTGTTCGGTTCGTGTCTCACTTGTTTCTGTCCGTCTAACAGAAGTGTTGGTACTTTCTAGTGTATCAGTATACAATAATTATTTCATATTATTTAATCCTTTTTAACCCTTATATTGATAAGGGTCTCGTTCATTGAACTAGTGCTTTTATATATATATATATTTATTGTGCTTACCAACAAGCGCGACAAGATCTTGAGTGTTGAGACCTTTTGCAGCAAATTTGCTTATTTGGACTGCGACGGAGTCTGTGAAACCAGGCAAATTGTTTGTATCAGATGCCAAAGAAACCAGCCCATCTCTCCGCCCTGTAGGCACCGCCCAGCTCGCTCCATTGCTCTGCATGAACTATTCACATTAACCTCCATTTATTGTACATATAGAATATTCATGTACATATAAACATATATATTGTAAATTTGTAGTAACACGTACATACAATATGATCAAATTTAGTACGTACCAGAACTACAGAATCACGGGCAGCAAGGGCTATAATATCAGCACACGAGACAACACCGGGGCATGCTGCTTCAAGCTGCTTCTTCGCATCGTCAATGACTTCATATCCTCTGAGCAGGAGATTTGGGCCAGCCGTTTTCTCGGTGGAAGGGCCATTAATGAGGATTGAAGCATCACAGCCTTGGACAAAACAGTCATGGAAGTGCATTCTAAGCAACCCCGGTGCAACCGTGGCATCGGATTGGAAATGGGCTTTAACCGTCAACTGAACTATGGATTCAGCTCGAGGGCACGACGTGCTATAGAACCCGGCTCGAGTGCCTTGGCCACGAGCCAATGTGGTAGCCATGGCAAGCCAGAGAAAAAGAATAATGTGTGTTTGGTTAGAGCAGCCCATTTTTAAATTAGGTTTACAAAGCAATGACAATATTGAAGGTTGAGTGTGTATATATATATATAAGAGAACTATAGAGAAAACAAACTAGGGTTTTGTTAGCAATAATGAGATGATGAAATGAGTGCAGTGGTTTGGGGTTGTGATTGATGGTGTGAGAGGAAGGGTGGTTTACATACTGCATAAAAGTAATGAGAGGTCAAATATTCCAAACAAGTAAGAAAAGTCGGCTTCTAGAGAGAAAAAAGAGGAGGATGATTTGGGATGCAATATGAGCCTGCGTTTACCTTCTTTATCTTGTAATGAAGTACTACATCTACATGGTGTGGTGGGTTTGTTTCGTTTTCTATATAGGTTAGGTGAGTGTGCATGTTATCGTTTTTTTATTGGTACTTTATATATCTGTGTGAGGATGAGTTGGGATCATTTTTGGCGAATTGTCCTAGGAATGAATAAACAATTGAAGATTAGGTAAGGTTGTGGTGACGAAATTAAGCTATACAATTCAATTTTATTATTTTTAAATTTATATTTTTTGACTTACGAATCTTAGATCTCTTGCTTCTTAGCCCACTTTAATCAATTCTTTTGGATTGATATATATATATATATATATATATATATATATATATATTATTTATTAATAATACTAAGATTGTATATTGTTATTTAAGTGTTAAATTGGAGAATTATAGGGAAGTCCTAAAAGTAAGATGAATTAAATAAATAAATAATTTGATACGTGGAGCTTATCTTTTAATACAAATAGATAATTAGTAATTTGTGATTTTTTTTTTTGGTTACCATGGTGCCTAAAGTTCCTAACCCCTCCTCCATAAATGATTATAGGCCCATCTCTTACTGTTCTACAATCTACAAATGCATATCCAAGTTTTTGACAAACAAGCTTAAGCCCATACTTCCTCACATCATTGGTCCCTCTCAATCTGCATTTATTCAGGTAGGACCATTGATGACAGCATATTTTTGGCTCAAGAGCTCCTCAATGGATACCATAGATGGAATAATTAGTTAAAAAAAATTTATTATAGATTATTAGGGATCATATATTTTACAGTAATTAAATACAAGACATCGATCTAGAAAGTCTTTGTAGTCGTGGCTTTTCAAATTCATCTCTTTCATTAAGTATGACCACACAATAAAACTCACAATTCACCCACTTGATCATCTATTAGGCAAGTAAGAACAAGGATAAAATGGTTAAATCTTCCTCAATATATATTTATGTTTTTTATACATTTCATATCTGAGTATTAATTTATGCCATGAATTTTAATCCTTTTGCGTATTTACATATTATAATGTGCATTCTTATAGAATAAACATGACATTGATGGCAATGAACGATTTACATATTGGACTTACTAAATAGCACATTTAATTGGTTTGTTGTTTAGTAAGTTCCATATTGTTTGCTTGGGTAGATTGTTTTTCATGTTCGAACCTTGCATTCCCTTCCTTTATTTGTAACTTTTGACTTTTGATATTCTTACCATAAATATATATATATATATATATAATAAAATAATTCACACTTCTTAATCTCCACCAACCAGATTAAAAACACAATCAGATAGAGACCTGCTCAAATCAAAGTGAGCTAATTTATTTATTTATTTACTATTAATTTCCTAAATCCCAATCAGTATTTGATTACATTATTTTGAGAGGGAAAAGTTGACACCTTAGAAGCGAACCAAATCATGGTGCTACATATTTTTTTAGTCTTTGTCTTGTATGATTGTAATTTGTTTTGGATTAACGTCAACACTCTAAAGTCTTAAAGCTAATAATTTATGTTATATATATACAGAAAAGATCACTAACAGCTTAATTTACTGTAAACTCACGAGGCACCGTCTTAATGGTGTGAACAGAACAACATCATAGTCTAAAATGGGAGGATCATCATATATATTACACACACACACACACACATGCGTATATTGCCCAGTCCATAAGGTGACAAGTCGAGTGAATTTCCAGGAACCAAACCTTGAGCTAAAGTGGGCTGCGGTCAATGTCAACTGTGGGCCCACGCGCATGTATGTATAACAAGCTGTGTGTGATACATACGGTGGACAATGTCAAATGCGAAATGATGGGTATATTATTTTTTGACCAACTCACAATAGAGATCAAACATATTTTGAAACATTATCCGAAATTTTTTCACCTAGGTCTTGGTATTTGAGAATCACTAGTGGGGGCAATGATTTCTTTGATATTGACATTTTAGATGATATATAGCATTAATTTGTTTGTTCTATCATTTCATTTTCAATATGTGGTGGAATAAATGAAAATTTGAAAGCTACATACAAGTCTTAATTTATAGTTAGAGGATAGACTATTAATAAAATATGTCATCAGCTTTATTTATATGATATATTGATACTACTCAAGTAATTCAACTCATATATTTACCCAAAAAAAAAAAAAAAAAATTCAACTCATATCAACTAAACTATATATATATATTTTTCCTTTTCATTTTTCCATCAATTTTAAAAAAAAAAAATTAAATAATTAAAAAATATTTTGACATGTGATACTCTTTTTAATTAAAACTCTTAATTTTCTTCGATAAATGAAAAAGTTTAAAATTTCTCCCACCTTTAATAGCCAGTCAAATGACATGCCATACTAATTTTAATCTTCCACTTAGTTCTTTCCGAAACAATATCTTCAACATCAACCATATATCACTCTTCCTAATGGTGCATGCATGTGCACTTAATTTTCTCTTTTGCACATATTTAAATAATCTTAATTGAAATTTGAAATTTTATTGTTAACTTCAACCATTTGACAAGGGTGTTCAATTCTAATTACAATTTTTTTTTTTTTTTTTTTTTTTTTTTTTCTTTCTTGCCACACATTATTTTTGACTACATTTGTATTTCAGTCACACTCATTTTATGCATATATTTTTTGTTAATTAACTAATAATGCCTTACTATAAAGTATGAATGATGTAACAACTATTTTCTGCGTATAATTTTCCTTTTCAATTTTAGAGAGACTTGCTAAACACACATAATAAAGCAAACGCAATCTTCTACTGAACACATATCTTAACCTAAGACATAATTACTAATGGGCCAGTGGCCTAGCGGTATTAATCTCTTACTTTTCAAAGGGAGGTCGGGAGTTCAAATCTCAGAAGAGACAAGTGTCTGTGAATACTAACTAGAAGAAAAAAAAAAAAAAAAAGCCAGCCTAAGTCACAATTCTTTTCAAGAGATGTTGCCCTCATGCTTTGTACGCGTTTCCGATTTTATTATGCGTAACTTAAATTTTACTACTTTTGCACCGTAAAATAACTTAAATATTAAATTTATATTCTACTAGTAGCATAATCTCGACTTTCTCCTTTCACTATTATAACTACACTGGGTAGATTTTCACCCTCAAGGCTAAACTCACAAGAGTGTTCGATTTCTTGAATAATGTTGGCATGTGGGCTAAACTCACAAGAGTGTTCGATTTCTTGAATAATGTTGGCATGTGGCACATTAATATTAAGATATATCACTTGTCCAACAAGGATTAGTCTTAAAGATGCACTTAATTATTAGTTACGAGTATCTATTTGTATCTATCTATCTATATATATATATATATATATATATAAATATATATATATATATCATGGCTTCAATTCATAAGTCAAAAAGATATAAGTTAAAAATTATTTCTTCTATCACAACCTTACCTAATCTTGTATTGTTTATTCTTTCCTAGGACATGACAATTCCGCAACAATGATCGGCGTTATAATGTCAATGAATAACAAATAAGCTAGTATCAAAAAAACTAGAAACTCACCTACTCTAAATATTAGACAATGAAACAACCACACAATGCAATATTCCATAACAAGACAAAGAAGGTAAACGCAGGCTCATAATATTGCATCCCAACTCATCCTCCTCAATTTCTCTCTAGAAGCCGACTTTTCTTACTTGTTTGGAATATTTGACCTCGCCTCACTTTTATTCGCTATATAAACCACCCTTCTTTACCTTACCTCTCACACCATCAATCACAACCCCAAACCACTTCACTCATTTCATCATCTCATTATCGCTAACAAAACCCTAGTTTGTTTTCTCTATAGTTCTCTTACATATATACACACTCAACTTTCAATAAAAGATGGGCTGCTCCAACCAAACACACATTATTCTTTTTCTCTGGGTTGCTATGGCTACCACATTGGCTCGAGGTCAAGGCACTCGAGTCGGGTTCTATAGCACGTCGTGCCCTCGAGCTGAATCCATAGTTCAGTCGACCGTTAAAGCCCATTTCCAATCCGATGCCACGGTTGCACCGGGGTTGCTTAGAATGCACTTCCATGACTGTTTTGTCCAAGGGTGTGATGCTTCAATCCTCATTAATGGCCCTTCCACAGAGAAAACGGCTGGCCCGAATCGTCTGCTCAGAGGATATGAAGTCATTGGCGATGCGAAGAAGCAGCTTGAAGCTGCATGCCCCGGTGTTGTCTCGTGTGCTGATATTTTAGCCCTTGCCGCCCGTGATTCTGTAGTTCTGGTACGTACTAAATTTGATCATATTGTATGTGTTACAAATTTACAACATATATAAATATATATGTGTATATGAATATGTATAGTAGATAGAGGTTAATATGAATGGTCCATGCAGAGCAATGGAGCGAGCTGGGCTGTGCCTACAGGGCGGAGAGATGGGCGGGTTTCATTGGCAACTGATACAAACAATTTGCCAGGTTTCACAGACTCCGTAGCCGTCCAAAAAAGCAAATTTGCTGCAAAAGGTCTCAACACTCAAGATCTTGTCGCGCTTGTTGGTAAGCACAACCTTTATATATATATATATATATATATATATATATATATATATATATATATATATGGACTGGTTCAATATATGGTATGATTGGTATCCTTACTATGTGTACAGTCAACACGATCATCATGAAAGTTCTTAATTTACTTTGATAATAAAAAAATTGAAGAGGAAATAGTTATTCCATGCGCAAGTGAGACACGATTAAAATATGTGTCAAATACACATGAATTTGAAACATTTTCAGGAAATAATAAAATGTTTTTGTAATTATTCTCCTCATATTTTTAAGAAAACAAAAGTTAGATTAATTTGGATAGAAATTTAAATTCATATATTAAAAGCCAAACCCATATAGTACCATGATTACTAATTTACTCTATGCTCATACATATGTGATTATATATATATAATATGTACACCTTAATGTTACGTTAATAAATAGTCCTACATGTGTGTTTGTATTAATAGGAGGACACAGCATTGGAACTTCAGCTTGCCAATTCTTCAGCTACAGGCTCTATAATTTCACAACCACTGGTGGTGCTGACCCTTCCATCGCCCCGGCATTCCTCCCTACTCTCCGATCACTCTGTCCGCAAAATGGCGATGGCACGAAGCGCGTGGGACTAGACAACGGTAGTGATAAGAAGTTTGACACATCATTCTTTACCAATTTGAGGAATGGCCGAGGAATACTGGAGTCTGATCAGAAATTGTGGACCGATGCTTCTACAAAGACATTTGTCCAGCGATTCTCGGGTTTGAGCTTCAATGTGGAGTTTGGTAAGTCCATGGTGAAGATGAGTAACATCGGTGTGAAGACTGGCACTGCTGGTGAGATTCGCAAAGTGTGCACTGCAATTAATTAGCTGATGATCATCACAATTTTATACCCTCGTGGAGTTACAAAAGTGACTTGCAAGTCGTAATACTTAACCAGCATAAGCCGATGATTTTAATTTTTGTTAATAATTGGACGTTAGCTAATAATGTGTCAATTCTTTCAAAGAAGGAATGAAATTCTAATTTACGAGTAAATTTTGTTGATCCGTACATTTTGGATGATGGTTTAACACTTGTATTCAAAAGTAAAGAGGACAAAATGAAGAAAAAATGAACTGGATGTGATGTCAACTTCTTGCATTTTTATTTGATTTAAAGAGTGGATCAATTGGAAGTGATGTGATCAACTTCGATCTTACCATGCAATTTGAATTAATCTAATAAGGCTAGTCTACTCATAGTAATTTGTGTTTTGAGATATTAATTCAACCTTTATTTTAAAAGTACGGAATACTTCTCAAGAGGTGACTATCTTAGTACTACTCAAAGTTAAACACGCCGAATTAATTACGGAGTTCTAATGAATTCACGATCATCACGATTTTAAAACGCATTGTGTTATAGAAGGGTGATGAATCCATATATAGCACTTTACTCTTTTACACCCAGACGATGTGAAAATTGTGAGCACAAGTAACTCGAGTCTTGCCTCTCACGGGCCTGTTCCCATCCACCGAGCCTCACAAAAATCTTACGTAAAAAATAGTATAAAATGAAAGTGGAGTAATAAAATGAGATTGAAAATGAAATGAAATGGTCATTCTCATATTTGTTGTAAATATGGAATGAAAGTATTTTTTATTGTCATGTCATTACCAATATGCCACATTAGCGCCATGAAATGCCCAATTACCATATTCAACTGAAAATGACTGTTTGGCTGCTAACTAATTTCTTGCTTTATTTATTTATTTCTTCATGACAAATAATTCTTTGAAAATATTTGAACCTTCGCTTTGCTAGTTGAATAATTTAGCACTGAATGAAAAATGGTGGTATATACAATCATGCTGTTTCGTGGATGCATGCTTGTGAAGAAAGAAATGGTTAAAGATAATTTAGATATGGAGACTTTTTCTCACGCGCATCAAAATGAAAGATTGAACAGTCCCATTTATATAAAGGTTAGAATATTGATGATGATTCACGTTTTGGAATTACTGAATCTATTACGTGTAATTAGGTATTTTTCAAAAGAAATATCTCTTATACCAAAAAAAAAAAAAAAACATAGAGACCTCCCTAATTGAAAGTGAGTTGATTTTTTATTTCCTAATTAAATTCCAATCCCTGTTTCATAATACTACATAATTTAGTCTTTGTCTTGTATCATATATTGTAATTTGTTTGGATTAATGTACCGTCTAAAGTGTAAAGTTAATAACTTATATATAAGCCAAAAGTGCAAACAACCCCCTAGACTATCACAAATCTGTATTTTACCTCCTTGAACTATAAAAATGAATAAGTCAGTACTACGACTATCACAAATCGTGCAAATTAATCCCTGAAACTCAATTCCGGCCACTTTCCGGCCCACAAGGTCACCACGTGACTATTTTTTTTTCTTTTAATTCCGAAATTACCCTCAAATACTAATAAATATTATTATTTTTTTATTCATTTTAACTTTTTTGCCACGTAATGAGGTAAAAATGGAGAAGCTCACAGCCGAGTTCTCCTTCCCGTCGGTGCCGCGAGCCAGCCCCGTTCTGTAACTTCCCTTCGTTCATCCACGAGGATTCTCTGATTAGTCAATTCCTCCTTCCTTTTCCCTCAATTTTGTGATCTATCAACAGAAAAAAGAAGAAGAAAGAGAGCACAAGAACACCAAACATAACAGCGAAATTTGATGACTCCGGAGCCGGTGAAGCATTTAGATCGATAGGTGGTTGACCACCAGTTTTGAAATCGGTTTTCCGCCCGCAAGGTCACAACTAACCTCTCCACAGCCCATCGCCGCCCATGCCGCCATCACCATCGCTGCACCAGCCACCTCTGATATGATTGGATCAAAACCGATAGCTTTTTTCATCAATATATGTAAATATATAGGTGTGTGTGTGTGGCTACTGTTACTTTTTTTCATCAATATAAATATATGTATATATATATGTGTGTGTGTGTGTGTGGCTACTGTTGCTGCTCAGGCAACCTCGCCGCTTCAGCGCCGTCATTAAAGCATGGATGGGGGTTCCACGGCGAAGGTGGTGGTTTGGGCGAAGAATTGGGATGGGATCGAATATAAGCTTGTCGGAGGATCACGCATTCTATAAATAAATCAATGTTTTGTTTCACGGCGGAGGACTAACCGGGCAATTAGTGTTTTCTTCATCCCCACCCGCTGCCTTTCCGACTGCACCTCCCAATCTTTTCCGGTGGCTTTCCAGTAATTGGCTTTGGTTGTCCGGTTAGTCCTCGACCCGTTTGGATATTTTCTATCCGTTGGGCTGTAGAAGTACCATTTAATATCTTTGCCAGGTAAATATGACTTATCTATACAGCACATCATCAAATCAAATATATATATATATATATATATATATATATATATATATATATATATATATCAGATTTCAACTAATTTAATTTAGAGTCAATCAAATTAATGATATTTCTATATATATATATATATATATATATATATATATATATATATATATATATTCAAGTAAATTTGTAGGTACGTAGCTGGTAAATCCTAAGGATCACATTTGTAGAGATCAACCTCTGGGATGATTTTAAGCTCGATCACACGGCCTGTTATTTTCCTATTTAGATAGTAAGCAACAAGTTCCTCGTCAGTTGGGTGGAACCTGAATCTGGGGGAAGACTTATTTGTGCCATTTATTTAGCATTGATGTATTTGCAAGTGTGTGTGTGTGTGTGAGAGAGAGAGAGAGAGAGAGAGATTTGAATGAGAGAGAGGAGAACAAAAGATGATGGAGATGGACTTGAGAACAGAGGGGTATTGAAAGTATTTCACGCTGATTATTATTATTATTATTATTATTATTTTTGTATTTTTTTTAATTACAATGGGTAGTTTTGTAAATTTATAATGAAGTAGGTCGGAAAGTGACCATAATTGCGTTTCAGGGATTAATTTGTACGATTTGGATAGTTGTGGTATTGACTTGTTTATTTTTGTAATCTAAGAAAGTAAATTATCGATTTATAATGGTTTAGGGGAGTTGTTTACACTTTTACCTATTTATATATAAAGAAAAAATCACTAACCGCTTAATTTATTGTAAAGTCACGAGGCAACGTCACAGTGGTGTGAACAGAATAAAATCATAGTCTAAAATGGGATGCTCAGGCTCATCGTATACATACATATTGCACAGTCTCTTCAGGAACCAAATCATATACCGTCCGAGATTGTATGATCTCGTTCAATTATATAAAAATTATTATATAATTTGAGATTATATAATTTTGATTAATCACAACTAATAAACAAACAAATATATCAATTTTATTTAAATTTTTATTTGTATATATTTATCTCACCGATTGGTCAAGACTATGTTAGTGCTCCTCATTATAAAAATTTCTCCTCAATTTTGATCGACAATATCAGAAGTGGGCTGCGGTCCACGTCAACGGTGGGTTGTGGGCTTGGGCCTACACGCATGTATCTATAACGAATTGTGATGTCGACCTTGTCAAATCGGGAATGATGGTTATGCATAGTTTTTTCTTCAAGGTCCAAGTATTTGGAAAACACTAGAGACTCTATAATGATTTCCATGATACTGACATGGTAGATAATAAATATTAATTTGTTTGTGTATAAAATATAGGATTAAAATAATAAAATTTTCCTCTTGTTTCCAAAAAGTCATATAACCACCTAAATTATCAAATAACTCTGTGAACTAACAAAAATTATTACATTACTTCATTTTTTTTTTGAAAGAATCGTTAAGTTATTGCGAAATGATAATAATGTCATTAATAGTATATTAATACGGAGTATTTTATTAAACTAAAATTATAGTGTGAGAAGGGTAATTTCGTCATTACGAATTACAAAATTATTTTGGTAAACAAAATGATGCAACTGTTGCATGCGATTGTCATGTGATACGATCTGATTAGTTTTAGATGGGAAATTAATGAGGGGGTAATATGATAGACTTTTTAAAAATCAAGTATTAATGTAATAGTTTCTTTAGTTGAGGAAGTTAGTTGGTAGTTTTTGTAATCAAGAGGAGGATTTTATTATTTTAACCCTAAAATATAACTCAATTATGTCACCAGCCATATAAATTCCAGTAATTAGAAAAAAAAAAAAAAAAAAAAAAATCCCACCTTTCTCTTTTCATTCTATTATATTTAAGGTGATAGTCAGTCTTGGTCAAATCCTATGTCCATCGACCATCCACTTTGAAAGGTAGAAGAGATATCACTGGGCCGCAAAGCCCTTGATGTCACTCTTTCTAACTTGAGTATTAATTTTGGCTACTCTCATTCATGCAAATATTTTTATTAATTGCTTGATATTCTGTCCTATAAAGTTAATTTGGCAATTTTTTTTTTTTTTTTTTTAAAATTAATAGTCACAACCCTCTCTCCCTCAAAAAACTGTTTTCACCAAGAACATTCGAAAACTGATTTTTTCTTTTTTTCCCTGCTAATTAAAAATATATTTAAAAACAAAGAACCATTCGGAGAAGGGGCAAAGCCCAACAAGCCCGAACGAAATCCAGAAACAACGGAGTCTAAAGACAAAGTAAGGACCATTTAACGAACAACTTTTTAAACAAAGTAGTCATTGGGGGAACATACCACTGTAGAACATAGAGGGAGATAAGCAGCGGAGAGGGATTAGCATCAAACATGGAGCTAGGAAAACTCCAGTCCTCCAAGTACTAATTTCTTCTGTAATTTGATTGATGAAAATAATTGTAATTAGTATTAAACAAAAATAATACTTCCCTACTCGACAATTAGTATGATGTTGCTACTTATTACTGATTTGGCACATTAGTGACATGACACGTGTCTTTACAATTCATATAAATAAAAAATAAAATATTTGAAAATACGTAGAGGGTTGCATTCAATAAAAACCATATCTAAATCAAATTTCTAAGGCCTCGTTTCATTCTATTATGACTAAGGATGGCAATGGGGAGAGTTTGGAGCAGGTTTTCCTAAATCCTGTCTCGCCCTTTTTAATTTTTGTCAAGTCCATGTCCATCCCGAGACTCGCGATGGGTTGAATTTTTATGTCTAGTCCTGCCCCGTTAAGAAATACCGTGCTTCCATGCCCGCCCCGCTAACAAATTTTTTTCTCCCACTTTTTGAAACTTAAAGCTCTTGCTATTTAAATGTGGAAAGCCTGGAAATGACATAATATAAATGAAATTATGTATCCAACAAAAATAAAAAAATAACATGCAGATAACATAATTCAAAGAACATAATAAATAAAAATAAAAGTTTAATACAACCAAATCACAAGAAATTCTAAATTCCAACTTCCAACAGATCTGCGATGAAATTAGTGGGCATCGACGATGCCCTTTTGATGCAGAATAATTTCTCATATGTTCTCTATCTTGCGCTTATGTGGCAGAGGGATTCTGTATTCTTTTGTTCATCCCTTTGGGCTTGTTTGGGCCTTGGTTTTTCAAAACCATGGCCTTGCTTTCCTTCTTGGGCCAAAGGCCAATCTGCTGTAATTATTGGTTTTATTTATACAATTGCTTAACATTCCAAAAAAAAAAAAAAACAAAAACTTCTACCGTAACCAAAACAAAAACAATACCAAATTTATATCTCAAATTAGGATGAGATAGGTAACTGGATAAGCCGCTAAAATAAGTTATATATATATATATATATATGTTTAGCGGGGCGGGACGGGACGGGACGAGGCAACTAGGTTATGTATACTGAATCCTTACCCGTACCGTGATCCGCAGCAGGTACAAAATTTGTATTCATGCCCATCCCAATGGTATAAAAAGTGTTCCCATATCCATTATTAACGGAGCGAGACGGTAAAAATTGACATCCCTAATTATGACATTTAAAATAAGAATGACTATTCCTTTGAAATGAAATTCATTTCACATTTGATCGATGGAATGAATCCAAGTAATGGAATTCTTAGCACAACCACCGCCACTCCCTTCCACCACCACCACAACTAATGCCTTCTGCCACCGCTGCTTTGCCGTTGCCACCATTCCCCACCACCACCACCTTTCATCGCCGCCACCACTACCGCCTTCTGCTGTTTCCACTGACTTCCACCATTTCTATTGCCGTTTGCCTTCCACTACCACTACTAAAAATGGTGATTATCATTTAATTCTAACATCATTTCATATTTACAACCAAATAATAATAATAATAAATAAATAAATAAATAAATAAAGACTATTACATTCCATTTCCATTATCATTTTATTTACATTCCATTCTCACACGTTAAATTAAGCCTAATTTTCTAGTTCCCTTCTCTCTCTCTCGCACGCTGTTCTTTTTTTTCTCCCCTCTCTCTCTCTCACACACACTCGCGATACTCACGGAACAATTATATCCATCTTCTCCTCTCTAAATCTCTCCCCATTTTTCTCTATATTCTCTGCCACTCAACAATACACCATCCACAACCACAAAATCTATTTTTTGAATCAACGCAAGACCTATCTCTCCTTTATATTCTTCTTATTTCACTTTCTCTCTCTAAAATCAAGTAAACCCATTTGAAGACTAATCCCCAATGACTGCCCAGATTAACATTAATTCAATGTTTTAGAAAGAGACAGAATTAAATGATTCATGTAGAGATTTCCAGAGAAATTTTGTGTGATTGGTAATTCTGTTTTTTGTGATTGATAATCCTGGATTTATACGTAATAGAATTATCATGGGTCTATGCAGGTTGTTCTTCATCTCTGGCTAGAGTAGTGAGAGAGAAAGGGGGGAGAAATTAGGGAATTGATTTAGTCGTTTGTTATTGAATATAACCAGATACCCCTTTCAAATGTTTTATTTTTCATTATTTAAATCGCAGGAACACATGTTTTAACGTTTTACACATCGTAGACAAGTATAGTGGATTAAATGATATAAATATGAAATGAGCTGCTCTAACCAAACATACATTATTCTTTTTCTCTGGCTTACCATGGCTACCACATTGGCTCTAGGCCAAGGTACCCGAGTCGGGTTCTATAGCAAGTCGTGCCCTCGAGCTGAATCCATAGTACAGTCGACGGTTGAAGCCCATTTCCAAACCGATGCCACGGTTGCACCGGGGTTGCTTAGAATGCACTTCCATGACTGCTTTGTCCAAGGCTGTGATGCTTCAATCCTCATCGATGGCCCTTCCACCGAGAAAACGGCTGCTTCGAATCTTTTTCTCAGAGGAGGAGATGTCATTGACGATGCAAAGAAGCAGCTTGAAGCTGCGTGCCCCGGAGTTGTATCGTGTGCTGATATTCTAGCCCTTGCTGCTCGTGATGCTGTAGTTCTGGTACCTACCAAATTTGATGATCATATCGTGTGTGTTACAAACTTACAATTTATATATACATATATATATGTGTCTATGAACATGTCTAGTATATGGAGGTTAATTTGAATGCTTCATGCAGAGCAATGGAGCGAGCTGGGCGGTGCCTACAGGGCGGAGAGATGGTCGGGTTTCATTGGCATCTGAAGCAAACAATTTGCCTGGTTTCAGAGACTCCGTTGATGTCCAAAAGGACAAATTTGCTGCAAAAGGTCTTAACACTCAAGATCTCGTCACGCTTGTTGGTAAGCACAACCTAATATATATATATATATATATACACACACACGCGCATAAAAGGACGATTAGTTCACTGCACAATACTCTTTTCATATAAGCTGCAAAGTCTAAAATATGTCATACATATAATATGATACACTAAAAATTAGGAACATTTCTTCATGGTGTATGAACACTTTTTTCCGAGTTAGATGTGTCCTAAAATTTGATTATTTTATTTTTTGATTGAACATTACTGTACAGACACCACATAGAGACGTTTTAAACGTTTTAAAAAAAATTGACGGAGTATTTTGTAATTATTCTTCATATTTTAAAGAAAACAAAAGTTACATTGAACTCATTATTGTCACTTATGTTTAATTAGGATAGAAAGTTAAAAATCATGAAAAATCAAACCCCTACATATAGTATTATGAATGATTACTATATATATGTTGATACATTATATATATATACATACACCTTAATGTTATGTTAACAAATACTCCAACATGTGAGTTTGTGTTTAATAGGAGGAGGACACACCATTGGAACTACAGCTTGCCAGTTCTTCAGATACAGAATATATAACACATCCACTGCTAGTGTTGACTCTTCCATCGACTCGGCATTCCTCCCTACTCTCCGATCACTCTGTCCACAAAACGGTAATGGCACGAAGCGCGTGGGACTAGACAACGGTAGCGAAAAGGAGTTTGACTCGTCATTCTTTACGAATTTGAGGAATGGCAAGGGAATACTGGAGTCTGATCAGAATTTATGGACTGATGCTTCTACAAAGACCTTTGTCCAGCGATTCTCCGGCGTTAGAGGATTGCCAGGTTTGAGCTTCAATGTCGAGTTTGGCAAGTCCATGTTGAAGATGAGTAACATCGGTGTAAAGACCGGCAGTGAAGGTGAGATTCGCAAAGTGTGCAGTAAAATTAATTAACTAATAATGACAAATTAATTAACTAATAATGATAATTTTATTCCCTCCTAGGGCTACGTAACCCCGAGTGTCTGAGTCGTGTCCAACTACTAGAGACTCTAGAGGTAAAATAGAAGTGGCTGCAAAAGTGACTTGTAAATTGTATTAATTAATTATTAACCAGAATAAGTTGATCATTTTGTATTTCTTTTTAATTTGTTAATGATTGGAAGTAGTAGTAAGAATTAATGTATCAATTCTTTCAAAAAAAAAATGGAAATAAATTTCTAGCTTACAACTGTAGTACTTTTTTTGGATGATGATTGAACATTTGTATTGAAACTTAAGGGGGACAAAAATGAACTGGATGTGATGTCAACTTCTTTCATTTTCTTTAACTAAAAAAAATTCTTTCATTTTTCTTTGTTTTGAATTAAAGAGTGGATCAATTGGATGCGATGTAACCAACTTCTTACGTGCAAATTGAATTAATCTAATAAGGTTAGTCTGGTCAAAATAATTTGTGTTTTGAAATATTAATTAATCCTTGATTTTAACGGTATGTGGAATTCATCCCAACAACCAAGTAGAAAATGTTAGATTAAGGAAACTAATATTTTTAATTGGTGTTTTAAAATAAAAAAAAAATGATACTTTAACTCGGTGATATTAAAATGCGGTGTAACTTAATGATACTTAATTTTTCATATTTGAAAGGTGAAAATTTAGGGTTGATATGCACACAGAGACATTGTGAATGTGTGAGTGTATTTTTTTTCATCAAAAAAAAACTTTCAAAGTGAAATTTATTCAAATAATAAAGACGAAAATGCCCAAGGAAATCAATATGAATTTCTTGCTAGTTAATTAGTCAAGATAATTTATGAAGACTTTTTTCACGCGCATAGAATACAATATTGTAACAATGATATATTCATCAACTTCATCAAGTGGCCGGATCGGTGAATATAGAAATGGTTAAAAAAAAAAAAAAAAAAAAAAAAATTCATTAACATCCCACGCAGCACGTGCAATAGTTTAATTTTCGACAAAACATGCAGTAATAATACTTAGTCATAATGTCAAAGTAAATAACATGACCTATAATTTTTAATTAATCATGATTATCAAATATAAAAAGTTATTGATCAAGAAATTCACCTGATAGGCTTAAAAATTATTTTGCCAAAAAAAAATTTTATTTTTTATTTTTTATTTGCCTGATTTTCAAAAAATGAGAGTAGATGACCTTGTTGACATTGTTGTAATGTTGTCTGCTACTAAACAGTTAAGTAGCATGTACAAGGCCAAAAACAGAATCCTATACGTCTTGGGCCTGCGCAGAGATCCAATAACATAAATGATCAGCCTACCGCGCAGCAAAGAGTCAGTAGTAAACTGTGACTCACATAATTGTGAGTTACCTTTTACGAAGTGGACAACAATGATGACATTGAGGAAGTATCATTCTTCACAATTGCCATTTTACATCTAAAATAGAGCAACTCAACTTTGAATACTAATAAACATATATAGGTAAAAAGAGATGCTTTAATATCTAATTTTTGCTCAATTTAGAAATTGTGTTTTTTTTTTTTCAATTAGCACGGAAACGCAAGCACCCATATTTGTTCTTAGGAGACTCCAAATTTCATCATCCATTTGAGAGATAGAGTAGTGGGGATAACATAATTTTCATAAAAATGAAAAAGAATGGAGAAATATTATTGGTCACCTTTTAGAGGCTGTTGTGCAACCGAAAAAAATAATAATAATAAATCACCGTTGGAAGGTAATTAAGTTAGAATTTAGGATAAATTATACTGAAATCCCCTCAAGTTAGGTTAAGTTTCACTTCTACAAATATTTTGATTTTAACTTTCATTCATATTTGAAATAATGGTTCCATATTTCACTCACACTCCAAAAGTCACTTTTTTAAAATGTCGTAGCACTTTTTATATATAAAATGACAATATTACACTTTTAACTTTATGTTAACTTTAATTAATATATAAAATGACTTAACTACCCTCAAAACTTATTTTAAATGACCAAAATATCCAAAAAAAAAAAAAATTAACTTCTGCCTTCTTCTTTCAGTAAGTGTGTATAATATATATATATATATATATACACGCGCACACACACACGAGTTGTGCAGATCTCTGAGATGGAGGATTCAACAGCAAAGGTGAAGAAAAACAGAGATCAAGGTGACTGGAGATGGGGGCGAGATAACCTGCAAGCGGCATGAAGAAACGACCGGATAAATTATGTGGGATTGTCCGGTGCCGTAAGGCGAGAGGTGTGCGTACATGGTGTTACTGGTGGTTGTTGGTGCAATGGTCGACAGTTTGGATGGTCAAGCAACGAAGAGCTGTGTTGGGGCATGTGGAGCATGTGATTTGAGGAAGAAGACGACTGTCGTCGAGTGAGAGGTGGGCAGAGCACGCGATTTGCAGTTACTAGCGTGTGTTGAAGCCTGAAATCATGTCGTCGCCGCCACTGTTGCATATCGTTGTCACTGTAGGTAGATTTACTAATGATGACAATTTGCTAAACGTACCAAACCCTATCGTCCACCTATTTCCACCAACCTAAAACCATAGCCGAAAATCACGTCGTCACCGAACCATTCACTGTTGCAGATGGATATGATGTAGAGAGAATAATACGGGGGGGGCTTTTGTTATTTATATTTATAGATATTTTTTATTAAATTGAATTAAAAAATATAAAGATATATGGATCAATTCGCATGTATATGTAGATACCTGTTTCTCGTTGGTCCTAGAAAAGTCAAAGAGGTCTGGGAATATACCAGTAAACTATATGAGAAATGTAGAAGGGTGGAAGAAGGGAGAGAAAATCAGTCCAGTGAGAGAATTTGAGCAATGGTAGGGAAGAAGCTGCCGTCAATTCTCTTGACCCTTGCCTCTTTGTCTATGTCTTCTTTTATAGCCTTAGCTCATTCATGTGGTACATTGTTAGGCCTCCAGTCTGAGAACGGGTCAGGGTCCTGTTTCCCTTGGGCCATGTTGCCCTAATCCCTATATTTCTAGAGATGCTGCTAAGTGTACCTTTCCCGTTGAATGATCCAAAAGTGGCAAGCTGTAAAGACAATTGTACTATTCCAGCTGTCTTTTGCTCATATCCTCAAATTGGACCTTGCTTTAGCGAGCAAGACATTATGAATTTTCCATCCTCTGTTCCAAAATCCCTTCTACATCCCATTGTCACCTGAAGAGTCCTACCATAACTCTTCATTGCTCTGGCTAAAGGTTCTATCACTCGTGACCCCTCAAGTCTTTCAATTGGTAACTTTAGGTTACCTTAGATCGAGACTTAAGGCCCGTCGATTGAGAGTTCGTGAGAAGGTCAAATCGAGGTTCAAGACCCGTCGGTCGACAGTTTGTGGCTAGGTCAGATCGAGGTTCAAGGCCCGTCGATCGACAATTTGTGAGAAGGTCGGATCGAGATTCAAAACTCGCCGATTGATAATTTGTGGCTAGGTCAGATCGACAACTTGTGTCGCCTGATTAACATCATCCAAAAGCAAGCACAACAGCAAGTGATTGAGTTTAGTAATTCCTCATATAAAATTATTGACTCTAGAAATATAGTAATATGGAGAAGACAAAATTGTTTCAAGCACCGACAGAACCAGAAGTGCCCCCTTGTTTCAAAGAGAAGATGTGTTGAGAAATGACAGATGTATAGAACCTTTCAACGAGATAGTGCTTTTTCAACTCTCTCAAAAAGAAATTTATTCCAAACATATATGCCATGGTTCCTTACTTCGATAGGGTACAAATATACATTTTTTTTAATAGGTAAATCATGGTAAATGTGAAAGTATATTAAATATGGTCAAAATTTAGAGGGGGAGTAGCCCAAGAAAAGCTAGCCTGTATCAAAAATAGGATTAAACAATAAGAAGTCCAAATAAGCCCAATGTAACTAGTAGAGCTAGGAAAAAAAAGGCCCAAGAGAGAAGCCCAATACTAAAAAGCTGAAGAATCTGTTTAAAAATATATATATACTAAAAAATGATAGGCTTAAAAATTATTTCCCGAAAATACTTCTATTTTTTATTTGCCTGATTTTCCAAAAAATTACATTACATGACCTTGTTGACATTGTTGTCTGCTACTACACCGTTAAGTGCATGTCCAAGACCAAAAAACAGAATCCTATACGTCTTGGGCCTGAGGAGAGATCCAATAACATAAATAATCAGTCTACCACGCAACAAACACACGGTAGTAACTTTAATATCATTCTTCACGAATCACAATTGCTAGTTTACATCTAAAGTATAGTAACTCAACTTTGAATGCTAATATAGAGACCAAAAAAACAAAAATGAATACTAATATATATATAGTTAAAAAGAGATGCTCGAATATCTGAATTTTTGCTCAATTTATTGGCAAGGAAACTCAAGCACCCATATTTATTCTTAAACACTTTAAACACTCACCATTCGTTCGAGAGATATAGCAGAGACAGTAACGGAGCCATTCAGAGGTCAGAGGCAGTTGCCCGACTAATTTTTTTAATAAAACTAATATACTCTATTAATTTAAATTTTTGATATATATTTACAAAATTATATTACTGCTCTCATGTCATGGGTGATTGCAAATATCTGTAGTTTACCTTACAACTTCGTATATAAAAATTTATCAACTTAGAAGGGTTCTTCATTGAAAATTTATGTATATAGTATATAAGATGGAAAGGAATGATAGTCAATAGTCGCAGTAAAAGAAAAGAAAATTATTGTGGTTTATATTATGACTTTACTGATAATTAAACAAGTATTATCAAAGTAAAGTCAAAATGAAAAATCACTAAGGCTTCGTTTGGATACACTGGAGAGAAAAGAAAAGAAAGGATTATGAGAGAAAAGAAAAGAAAAGAAAGGGAAGGAAATGTTTATATTCATGTTTGGATAGATAGGAGAGAAAAGAAAAGAATTGATAATATTGTTGTTTAGATAACAAAAAGGAGAGAAAAGAAAAGAATTGATAATAATAAAATTACTATCTTACCCTTTACCCTTTTTGGTAGGGTTAGAACACAAAATCATTTCAGCCTCCTCCATATATCTATTCCCGATCTGACAGATCCCTCCGTCTCTCTCTCTCTCTCCAACTACAAAATCTACAAAAATAGTCAAAAACCCATATCACCTCTCTCTCTCTCTTCAACTGCCAACTACAAAATCTACCAAAATTAGTAGATCAAAACCCATCTGCTCTCTCTCTCTCTCCCCAGCTGCAAACTACAAAATCTACAAAAATAGAAGGTCAAAACCCATATCGGCTGTCTCTCTCTCCAACTGCCAACTACAAAATCTACAAAATCTACCAAAATTAAAAGATGATCTCTGCAACAGACGATCTCTGCAACTTCCAGCGAATTTTCCGGCGTTCTCTGCAACTTCCGGCGAATTTTCAGACGATTTCTGCAACTTCCGGCGACTTTTCCGACGATTTCTGCAACTTCCGGCGAGTTTCCGACAGTCTCTGCAACTTCCGACAAATTTTCCGATGATCTTTGCAACTTCCGGCGACTTTTCCAGATGGGCTCCAAAGGTCATTAGCTCCCTTTCTCTCCAAATCCCTCCAAATCATGTCAATTTTGGAGGGATTTGGTTTTACTGTTTAGGAGAGATTTGGAGGGATAGGATATCCCTCCAAATCCTTCCCAATCCTTTCTTTTCTCTACAAAACCCTCCATCCAAACACACCTATCCCTGTCCTTCCCTTTCTTTTCTCTCCAAAACCCTCCAAATCCCTCAATCCAAACGAGGCCTAAATCTATTATACTTTGCCAGGAGGTTGCCTTCTCAAATAGACTTCAAAATATTTGATGGCATTTGTAATTGGCTGCCTTATACTAATATTTTTAATAATTTTTTTAATAGAATATTAAATCTGAAAAAAATAAAATCTTAAATTAGAATTTGAACAAAATCCATTTTAGTTTCATTCAATCCTTTTCCCTCTATTTTTCTTTTCTTTTCTCCCTCACATCCAAACCAAAACTAAATACGATTCCCTTCTAACTCAATCCATCATTTCCCTCCCTTCTAAAACACCTCCATCTCCATCCAAACGGACTGATGTCCACTTGGCTGTCTCTTATTGGTCAAGCGAAAAATTCCCAAGTGGAACCAACAAACAAACAGCACCTCCCTCTCTCTCTCTCCCCTCTCACCCTCTGGCACCACCGTCGGAATCTCCGCCACCAGCTTCCCTTCTACTAATTTTCAACACCCACTCTTCCCCAACCACCTCGTTACCGTCGCCGCCTCAATAACTTCACACCCAAACCCTAATCTCAATTCTTAAACCAATTCCTCCCTCCCCCCCCCCCCCCCCCTCTTCTCTCTCTACCCTATCAATGGCCTCCACAACTCTCTCTCACTCTCTCTTGTCCCCTCACTGCTCTATCTCTCATCGAAGCCCACTAGAAAACCCCTCTCTGCCTTTGCAAAGATCAATCACCTTGTCTCCAAACTCGTTTGTCTCAAGATCTCATCTTGTACTGACCCAACCGAAGAAGAAGAATCGAACTTGCTTCGTTACCAACTGTTCTTCAATTGAAGAAGAAAATGTTAATGCAGAGGTTCCTATTGAAACGAGTATGCATTTTCTTCTCTATCTTCTCTCACTACAACTTTCTCTCTCTAATTTTCTAATTCATGCTTGCAGGGTATGCAGCATATCCCACTGTGATGGATATCAATCAAATTCGCGAGATTTTGCCCCACCGGTGAGTGATTTGTCATGTAAATTCACTTCAATTTGCTCAATTTTTGGTGAGAAAATTTGTTATCTTTAGTTTGATAAGTAGAATTTGAAAACCCATGTCTCATATTTATTGTAATTTGTTTTTTTTTTTCATTTTCTTTTTGTTGTTACAGTTTTCCTTTTCTTCTAGTGGATAGAGTGATTGAGTACGAACCAGGAGTTTCGGCTGTGGCTATTAAGAATGTGACTATAAATGACAACTTCTTTCCTGGACATTTTCCAGAAAGGCCTATTATGCCTGGTGTTCTCATGGTTGAGGTAATTGCTACTTCGATATTGGTTCATTTAAAGGTTATGAACTGTGTGGTTGTGTTTTCAAATTTGAGCTCTTTTTCTGATTTTATTTTTTATTTATAAATTATAGAACTAGAAAAAAAAAAAATAGAGACTAGTGACTGAAATTTTGTTATGTCATGCTTTGTTCATTATCAATAAGAAAGTCACTTGAATTTATATGAATCATGCATGTGAAAGACACTTGAAACTTTGTGTCAATTTGCTACTTGGATAATTTGTTGAATTAGGTGAATCATGCATTACACCATTATGTAGAATATTATGTATTTAAATGTGTAACACTTTGTGTTTGTGTCTGTATCCGAATTTTGGATACAATTGGAGCCAGGTATGTGAATCCTAACATTTGGTATTCCGGGAGGTCCAACACATAGCAAAGTCCATGTGACATAGCTTGATACTTCCTCTCATCCCGTGATTAATTCCCAAGGATTTGTCCTTGGGAATTAGAATAGGTGGAATAGAAGAAAATTTTAGGGAAAGTTTTATGGAAAAATTCCCAAGGATTTGTCCTTTGTGAGGAGTTGAGAAAGTCAGAATCACTGAAGCATCAAATGGTAAGAGCATTGCTAATTTAATTATTGAGTCCTTGTGTTTCTCAATCAACTTTATTTATTTACAAGCAGCATTTGTGCTGTTCAGAAGATAATCAGGTTATGGCACACCTAAAGTCTACACTAACAGGAAATCAACATGGGGTTTATGTATTGGAGTTGGAGGAGATTTTGTAAGAAATTATAATGAGAATGTCATTGTTGCATTTTCTGCATCTCTCTGTCAGATGCAACTTCAATTACTAGTATTACTTTAGAAGTTCTACAGATTTAGAAATTAAGGGAAAAGGGGGGAAAGCATATGTCACTGAATTTGATTATTTTTCACAAACGATGAAGCTACAAGTAGAAAGCATAATGAGCCCTAAATTTATGATTAATTTTTTGGGGTGTTTGTGCTTTTGTTAAATTATTATTGAAATTTAACGTATCAGCTGCTATCAATATACTGCCCGAATCTCAATGCATATTAGTATCAGTGAGTTTTAATTTGGGAACTATATCTTGATTTAATAAATTGGGAAGCATTATCTCGCACTCATTAATTGAGGTATTAGGCTATACCTTGAAATATCTAATATCTGATGACTTAAAAATATTTTTGCACTGGCATTACAGAATTAAAACGAGAAGTAACTGATACCATGCTATGAGAGATTTTTCTCTTACACTTCAAAATATTGGTTTTGGGAAATTTTCTATGGTGTGTATACCATATAAGTTGGTTGAAGGAATAATTGATGAGATAAACTTGTATGGTCAGGAAAAATTCTTAAGTTTATATTATTTAAGGCCAATTTGGCTTGAGAGGGGACAGATTGCTCTCCAATATGGGATTTGACCTTTATGCAGAATCCAATGCCATGTCTGAGTTTGACTTTCTAACAGTCAATTTGATCAGACTAGAAGCACTAAGTAATTAGTTGGAAAACTAATACATTCATGTTCTCATTCTCCAAAGACTTGATTGGGAGACTTCATTTAGGGTTTTAAGCTACCCCTGCTCTTCTACAACACTTATTGTTGAGTATCAAGATCTCTACATAATATTTAATAACTTTCTATTGAACTTCTATATAACAATATATATTCATGTGTTAGCAAATGAAAACATGATGCTAAATCCATTAGAGTTGTATTTTTAAGTTGTAAATCGTGTGATTGACACCTTAGTTGTATATTCATCATAGCATTCTCAGAACATATTCATCTTTTAAATTGCACTAATTTGGATGTAAAATTCCTGGTTGTGAATAAGGTTGACAAGAGTGACCTGCCCCTTGAAAACCTTTTCCATCTTCCTTTGAGCAGTTATCAGTGTCTCAATTTTCCTTGGCTAATTACTGTTAAAATTGTTCAATCCATAATGCGTAGGATTCCTCTCCCTCAACAAGAGGTAGCCAGCAATAAATTTTCTTGGATGTAGTGGATAACATATTGAAACTGTACTACAGATTTCACAGTGTAGGATTCCCTAGAATTGAGTTCTTTACCTTCATTTGGACAAAAAAATTACAGGTTAATCCGTGGCTTTTTTGCTATCTAAAGTAGCACTTATCTCCTATAAGAAATTGCTAAAATAAATTCTTTATGCTTTCTTGCTAACATTAGTCTTGAGGTCTAGGGGTTGTTTTTGGATAAGTATTGACAAGCATGGGTGGCTGTTGTATTCAGGCAATGGCCCAAGTGGGTGGTATCGTTATGCTGCAGCCAGAAGTAGGAGGTTCTCGTGACAATTTCTTCTTTGCTGGAATTGACAAAGTCAGATTCCGGAAACCAGTGATTGCTGGAGATACCTTAGTGATGAAAATGACACTTGTCAAGCTGCAGAAACGTTTTGGAATAGCAAAAATGGAAGGGAAGGCATACGTTGGAGGAGAGGTGGTATGCGAGGGCGAATTTTTGATGGCTATGGGTAGTGAATGATTATCTGCAACTTGTGCAGTTCCTTTCATTTTTTTCATTTCCTTCAAACTTTCTCTGGTTGTGTTGATTTTACTTCTTGTTGAGTTGATGTTCTTTAGAAGATTTTTTAAATAACTTACACGACTTGTGAAACTTATAAGACTGGTGAATATCTATCAGCTTGAGATTTCAGGGTTTGAACTTTGAACAGAACAGAAGTTCTGTGTTACTCTTGAAGCTTCCTACTTGGGAGGACCTTGTTATAGCTTGGGATGATATCGTGTACTTTCCAATTAACATACTAATAAATAGCGTTCACATTGGCGGCGCGATTGGATAGTGCCGTTGCAATTGGGAACTGCCCCCAAAAATGGTTAGTAAGCTCCTGTTCTTTTACCTACAATTTGAAAGTATGCTGATTTCGTTCCCTTAATCTAGTGGAATACCGTCACTTTTGTTATGATGTTGAATATTATTTCAGGTTATTAGGACCAATATCATTTGTAAATTACTGCTAGACTGTCTTAGGTAAAACTGCATAAATGAGCTGATCCGGGATTCTTCATTTTTCATGTTAGAAATATCACTATTTTTGGCTAGAGTAAGACTTATCAATGTCACTGTGACAGTGAACGTGGTCTTGAACCTCTCAATCCAACAATTGACAGTGAATGTGGTCTTGACCATTGGATTAAGAGAAACCTCAATCCAACAATTGACTGGACAGGTTTACAATAAGAGCATCCACACGATAGCTTTCCTATGTTAATTTTCAAGTCCCACTGATTTTCTTCCTAGAGGATATGAAGAAATTGATTAGAAAATGGGTCACTATTAGCTAGTAGAATTCATAATATTACAAGGAGAATGGAAGCAAAAAAAAATTGAATTTTAAGGGGGGAACTCGGAGCTTGCGAAGGTAAATTCAGCTTCTTGAGTTTATTATCTCTAATGCAGTTATTTTTTACATTCACACTTGAACCAGACCATTTCACAAACCAAGAGCTCCGAGTGGTGTCTTCCCTTGCCCAGCCTCGAAGTAGAAAATTAGCATGGCCACCATAGCAAGTCTTGCATGTTTAATCTCGGCCAGCTTCAGTCTTTCAAGCTTCTCAGTGTCCGGGATGTACACACCGTTCTGGATTGTGCCGGCAAGGCTCAATGGGTCAAAGAATTTGCCACCAGGGTAGCCTTGTTCGCCGGTAGCGTTGGCAAAGTTCTCAGCGGTTTTAGACCACGGTGTTGCCCACTCGACGGACTGGGATTCAGGATTGAAGAAATCAACCCATCTTTTGCTCTCAACCCATCCCATGAGGAGGAGTTGGGTGCCAAGGAGGGTGCCAAAGGAGAAGGGTGCAATGGCACCTGGATCTGCACCGGCTTCAAACCATGGAATACCACTCCAGGCTTGGCCGACAAAGATGCCAACAACGGCAGCCATTGCCCATCGGCCGTGGATCAGTTCAGCTTCCCTGTACCACTTCAAGAACGCAGGGTCCTTGCCCAAACCTAGTGGGTCGAACCCATAGTCACCTGGAAGCCTGCAGTTAGGAAATCCTAGTGAATCATAAGAAAATGAGAGAGAGAGATGGAGGGGTTTTTACTTTTCATTTGACTGTCACAGCCGAATTGAAAACTAAGCAGCGGCAATTCTAAAGTTTTTCTTGGGAAAAAAGAAGAGGAGATGTCTCCTATCTTAACCATAATATGTTGAAGTATCAACGTCATTTCATAGAGTAAGAGAGACTTACGAGCCGTCTAGCCAATCGGGGTCGACGAGGTTGCCACCAGCTTTAACACCAGGGATCCAAGACTTCTTAGCAGCAGCAGCAGCTACCACAACCAACCTCCTAGGAGCAGGAACAACTCCTCCTCTGGCTCCAATTGGTGCAGATAACAATGCCTGAAGCTTCTTCCCACCAGACAAGAAGGGAGAGCCCAATCCATTTAGCACTGCAGCTGATGTTGCAGCCATCTCTCTCTCCTCTCCCTCTCTTTCTCTCTCTATATAGTATAATATATATTGATGAGTGTATAGATGAAGCTTGAGTTTCTCCTTTATGTGGGAAGTGATTGTGGGAGAGTTAAATCCAGAGGAAAAGACTCCTGAGGATTCAAATAGGATAATTGAAATCTGCAGAGGACATCTAAGATCTCTCATGGATAGATTTCGGACCAATGGGATTCTTAGCTCCATCCGAATCTCCCACATTGCTTCCAACCACGTGGACCATGTTTTTGCCTCTACTTCGATTTTGTTCTGGTATGCTCTGCTTGTGCAACCCCACAATACCCAACTTTTCATTTATTTATTTATTTTTTTATTTTTACACCACAACCCCCAATATTTGCCCAACTCAAAATTATAGGTATATATATACCATATACACAGAATATATCTGTGATTTGTGAGATAAATATCAGGTGTCACTTTTAGGTGGATTTTAAATTACTGCAAGCGAATATAAAGTTTTTATACAAGAAGGGTATAGAAAATTAGAGAGCGTGATCATTTAAACAGGAATTAGGGATTACTTTTTTATGAAGGCTCGTGGTCCGGTAGTATCTCCAAGGTAGATGATTTGAGTCTCTTCAAGAATGCTGTTGAAGTTATTTGCCAGGATAAAAAATAAATAAATTACTTTCTATGCTGATTTTCATTCATTCCATGTAAATTTTATAAAATATAGCTAAGGTTTTGACGGCTATGTTGATTTTTTTTTTTTTTTTTCTTTTAACTATTTGTGAATATGTCTGGTAATGAGCAAAGGTTATATACATATTCTGCTAAACATGATGAAAGTGAGGTTCAAGTCATGAATTTTTTTCTCTGACAACATTGAGGTAATCCTATGTGCTACACTTTTTATGAAGTTATGCCATTATTGTAATGGTTTTTATATTATATATACTATTACTTTGTTATTATAATATTTTTATTTTAAATGAGCCAATATCATTTTATGCTTTCTCTTGTGACAAAATATATGACGTCTGTTTTTTTAAAAGAAAAAAGTTGAATATTTTAAAATGTGTTGACATTATCTTCAAGATGAGGAGGCATAAAATGAAGTGTATGGGAAGTGTTTAAAATAATAAAATTTAATATTTATTGTACTAAACATGAATGCGGGTCATTGTAAAAGTGCCTGTGCTTTCTAAATTGCATTATATACAAGTCAAAAGACGAGAAATGTGCGTGAATAGTCTTACACAACTCCAATAAATAAATAAAATTAAAAAATCCAACAAAGTATAATCATCAAAAGTACCACAACACAACTGTTATAACTGTTACTGAAAATTTGGTGGTTGGATATACTAAACAGTCTCACAATGCTACAACAAAAAAAAAAAAAAATACCACCACAATAAGATCTTGGACGTTGAGCTCAAAAACTTTATGCCTTGGACCTTCAATCTCTAGTGACTGCTGGACTCAATAAAGTGAAAACGACACTAACCATGATCGTGTAGGCTAATACCATGGACATAACGAAATCATGATCGTGTAGGCTAATACCATGGACATAAACTTTCCCCTTCACCGACCCAACCACTAAAGGATCTGTCTTGGCTTTTAACATGGAAGGTCCATCAGTAACACTGTTGGTGACGATTGATTTCTTTGGAGTAGGCCTCCAACCATGTATATTTTAGATCCAATTGGAAAAAAACTCATACCAAATGGGTATTTTTCAGTTTCCAATTGTTTTACAGGATACGGTATTGATCGTGGTTTAGAGCCTCACCTCTATGACAGCGTTTGAAATCAATGGAATATATATCGTACCAGTATGGACCTGAACCGTTCTCGCAAATCATGAAAACAGCTCCTCCTCCGCCGCCTTTGCCTGTCGCCTCCATATGGTGGGAATTGTTCAGACAAACCTGAGACACCGAGGAAGAACAGAATTTCGAATACCTAAAGACGAAACCTTATATTTCTTCGACCCAATTCTCTCTCTTGATGGGAATTGGATTTAAAAAAGGTTTGCTCGTTTGGCATAACTTTTACCCATAGAAGAAGAAGAAAAGTATAAACTATCACTTCTATTCGGCTTATTTGACAGTGTTTGGGAATTGCATTTTAGAAGATTTTTTTTTGTATGTTTGGCAAAATGCTTACTAAAGCTCTTCTAATGAAATAAAGTTCCAAACACTAACCAATGTAATAAGATTCCAAACAATGACCATCCCAACAACTAAAACTATGATATTAACAAACATATCATTTGTGAAAGAACGAAATATGTTACACATCTATCGTGAAAATGATTTAAAAATTATTTCTTTTACATTGTTGTTGTCTATAAAATGATCCAAATAACTTTCTTCTACATTTTTTTATTAAGTCATTCATACAGTTAATTATTTAATTATTTTTCTTTCTTTCAGTTTTTTTAACATAATATATGTAACTCATTTTATAAATTATTTTTTCTATAGTGTTTTGAGAAATTGATATATGAAAGGAATTTTTTTTTTTAAATACAACCCTTTACATGTAAGTTCACTTATTTTTCAATTTAATTTTGAGGTGGAAAAAAGGAAGAAGCTAAAAATGGAAAGATTTTTTTTTTTCTTCATTTTTTTTGGTTAGTACATCATGGTTGCCATAGAAAGATTCTGAGGACGCCATTATATACATGTTCATTTTGATGTGAAAAAAAAGCTAAAGATGGAAAGTATTTCCCAATTCAATTTCGATGTGAAAAAAAAGCTAAAGATGAAAAGATTTCTTTGTTCTTCATATTTTTTGGTTGACCGTGGTTATGTAAGTTGAAAGAGTCATTAGCCCAACTTATGAAGTTTATTTTCGTAACTATCATCAAGTAAATCATATAAAATATACACATATATTACTTGTATACACCCACATATTCACAAAGCTAAGAGAAAATAAAATTGAAGGCAAAAATATATGATGGTAACGTATATGAGAAAAAGGGACAAAAAACCAAAATCAAGAATGAATCGAAATATAAATTGCAATAGCAATAAATAAATAAATAAATAAATATATATATATATATATATATATATATATATATATATATATTGTTCTCACTCATCGTTCGTTAAAACCTAACAAATCTGATTTATGATAAAACTTAAAATAATACTGTATTTAGGAATTATTTGTCCAATTTTAACATGCAATGCAATATATAAATACTGTGTTTGGAATCTTAGGAGGCTAGGATTTGATGGAAATTGGATTTCAAGAAGGTCTTGTTTGGAACATGAAAAAGGAATTGAATTTGAAGAGATTTGTTAACTAAAAATTAAACTTACCAAAATAACCCTTCTCCAAACCCCTTTCACTTTTTAAGTCCCTTATCCAATATAGTATAATTTTTTTTTTTTTTTCTCAAATTTTTTTTTTACAAATTCCAATTTATTCCAAACTAAATTCTATTTTAATTACAATCCAATTCTATTTCCAAATTCTAAATATTTTTGGTTCCAAGCAAAGAGTTCTAGACCTAGTGGACGGTGGAGAAACTCTTTTTTCCTGGTCCTTGTTTTATTTCCTTTAATGCATCGAACTTAAAAGTGAAATTCTCAAACTAAAACTTCATTTGAACTAAAATCCATTAAAAAAAAAAAAAAAATTAACATATCCACTTCATCCATAGAAAGGATCATCCATAGGAAGGCCAGAGACTTTAGTTAGAGTTTTAGATATTTTTTTCCTTAGAATTGGGACCAAATCTACCTTTATATATCATAATGGCTTATAAATATAAAGAACCATGAAGAAGTCTCCCAACATGGCTAAATCAGTAATCCTTGGCTTAAATTGAAAATTAAAGTCTAAATGACAAAATGCAACTTTCTTTCTCATCAAACATAAACAGTTGGTAAACTCTTTGTAATTCTCTAAACATTCTGCTTTTGAGTTCAGAACAGGACAGTCCACCAAAAACCACGAAGTTCAACACAATAACATATGAGTAATGATAGGTCTTCCGACTTCAATTGTCGACTCCTCCTCCAAATACAACGTGGTTGGAAATAAGTCGAAGAGAAAGATATGTTTACGGGATTTCTTTTAAGAGTTCCAACGTGATCCAACCATGTTGTGTTCGTAGGAAGAGTCGATAATTGAGATCGGAAGACTTATCATTTCTCATTACATATTCATCACAAGTACCACATTACAATAACTTTGTTTTTGCCAATTTGTTAATTATATTCACCACTTTTACATCATATATGTCTAAGCCTAATAGTCAAAGATGATACTATCTCCGTCGCATATTAATTATCCATTTAAAAAATTTTGACTCACTACCACCTTTTATTTTTAAGTCATTTGAGGTCATATTCCTTTTATATACTTATATATTACCTATATCCCATATTAGATATCTACTTCAGTAACTTTGACTCACAATTTTGGAGTGGACAACTAATTTGAAACGGAGATAGTATTAAGTTTACTAGATGAACTCAATGTCATGTACTAAACAGTTTCACAATGCTATAGCAAAAAACTACCACTAGCATAAGATCTTGGCCATCAAGTTCAAAAACATTTACTTCAATAACTTTGATGTCTACTTCAGTAACTTTGGCTCATAATCAAGCCCCTTGTCAAGCTTGAAATTGGCAATTTCTGGTTTGACAACTGGTGCAGCCTTGACCCTCTCCACCTCCTTGTCTCTTCACAACACTTCACAACAATTAAGTGATACCTCCATTGACACCAAAACAAAGCTGTCCTCCTTTATATCCAACTCCATGTGGCAATTCCCACTAGCCATCACCAATTTACTTCCACAATTACAGCAGGTCAACAATATTCCATTGCCATGTCCAAACAAGGAAGACAAAGTTATATGGTTACCTTCACCCACTGGAACATTCTCAATTGCAAAGACAATGAAGCACTTCAATAGCCACCTACCAACCCTGCCTTGGACACACTTAGTTTGGTCCAAAAACTCAATACCCAAACACTCATTCACTCTGTAGGTAGTCATACAGCAGAGACTCCCAACCCTTAATAGAAGGTGCACAGCCCACATCAATGCCACACTATGCACCCTCTGTAACTCCCAACTTGAGAACCACAACCACCTGTTCTTTGAATGTG